GTTGAAAGTGAACTTATCTTAGGATTTAGACAGTTTTATCTTGACATTTCTCCAACAATATTCTTGAACATGAAATCCGAGGCAGTGATTGGTTCATGTCGGGGTTTTTTCTAACGACGTCATCCAGGATCAGCTTTGCAGCACAGCCAGGTGTCAAATCAGCTCTAAGACTGACACTTAAGAATTACTCCTACACTTCACTTAAAGTAAGACTGAGAGGCTTCATAACTGACTTTTACTCTCAGCTTTTAACTGACATTTTTTTTACATTTAAGTCCACACTTAGCAACGTTCTTAAGAGTAATTCTAAGAAGTTTGATAAATATGGGCCTGTTTCTCTAAACTCAACGAGCTATCCACAACAGGCAAAATATTAATTGTTTATAACCTTTCCATAGAATATTTTTTATGCATGAAGAGAATTTCATCCATTTGCTTCAGTCAGAGCAGGCTTTTATTTTTTTCTTTATCTGGGCTTCATTTTGATCTCAGAATGGCATCTAAAAATTAAAAGTTTCACAGTGAGACAAATAAATCCAGGTGAAGGAAAACTTAAATAAAAACAATTCTTTAGTTTCTAATTAGTTTAATACCATAAGTGAAAAGTTGGAACAATGATCATGTTGTCAATTCAAGACTTTCTGCAGTAAAATATGTTGTAGCAAAAATAATAATGTGATTTAAAGATCCGAGCTGTTGATGTTTATTCTTTTTAAAATAAAAGAAATGTTGAACCGAACGTCCCAATGCTGAGAAAAGTCCACGTGGGAGAATGTGTCTGCTTTAAGACAGTAAACAACTGTATTCAAAGATGTCAGAGCTCATCAGAGGTACATGAACATCAGCCGGGTCAGAGATGCAGGCTTGGCCCGTATTTATCAAACTTCTTAGAATTACTCTTAAGAATGCTGCTAAGGGTCGATTTCAGTGTAAAAACGTTACTAACTAAAAGCTGAGAGTAAAAGTCTTTTATAAAGTGTCTCAGTTTCACTTTAAGCGTTGAGTAATTATTTAGTTTCAGTCTTAGAGCTTTGCTGTGCAGCAAAGCTGATCCTGGATGATGTTACAAAACCCCCTGGCATGAACCAATCACTGCCTCCGATTTCAAGCTCAAGAAGATTTTGAGAAATGTCAAGATAAAACTGTGAAAATCCTAAGATAAGTTCAGTTTCAACATACTAACATTCATACATGTCTCATTGTATTGATTGTAAATTACAAAAGAATGTCCTCATTTGCATCATGAATACAGACATAAAGAAAATATCTTTTTTTAAACTCAGCTTTAAAGTTTTTTATGGAAATGCTAAGCTTGCTCCCTCCTCCTCCTCTCAACTAAACTGCCTGCAGACAACACACACACACACACACACACACACACACACACACACACAC